TTGGTCATAATATATTTCTAAAATATATATATAGATACCCTTTTGTTTATTGACAAAAGATATATCTACGTAAAATAGAGTATCTATATATCATGCACTTTTTTTTTCTTAACTCATAAATCTAATATGTGCTGTAACGAAATGTCACGGTAGGAAGCATCTACTCTTTGACGTTAACTCTGACTCAAATATATAGGAAAAAAATGCGTTGTAAGCGCTTACATTAGTTTCACATGACGATAAACCTCATGATGCGTAGGTGGGTCGTCAGTGAGCAAAGAGTTAATTAAATTTTAACTCTGCTTTATAAGTTGAGATATATGTTAGTTTCAAATCAAAACTCTTTTTATTCTACTATTGTTACTTTATATTTCATTGTTTTCTTTGCTCTTTTTTTTTTGGATAGATATTTTATGACTGGATGTATTCTTTGTCCGAGTAATATCAAGCCTATATGATCTGAATGGTTATTTTTTTTCCTTGATTCATTCATTCATAATCAGATAAAATTTTCTAATCATTATAGACATCATTTTATAGTATGGATCAACATAATCCCTAGTATTTCAATACACATTTATTCATATCAGATGTTTCTCTAGAAATAATAAAAATTCTACAATATGAACAGAATTTCCATTTGATAAAAGAAATGTTTTGAAGTCCTGAAAATATAATAAGTCTGTTTTTCCTATTGATTTTTTTCGTTTCGTCATTCATTCGAATACAATCGAGAGGTCGAAACATTCGTTGAATCACTTCCACTTTTGTTTGTTTTATTCATTTAGAGAAAAATTGATAATAGTTTGAAGAATACGCGAAAAAGATGAAAACAATCATACGAAATGGCAAAAGGGTATCAAAAAAAAAAAATAAAGAAGAAAAATGTAGCTTTATTGGATCACTAAAATATGTAGGTACTTCAATAGTATACCAAACCAAAAATAAACAAAGAAAAATAACGTTTTATCACAATCAATTGTTTTTCTTGATTAAACTGCTTTTGTTTTTTGCTTGATTGGTGTATTGTCATTGATATATAATTAGGTTTTATAATGGCATTTGAGTGAATAAATAAGAGACCGATTCACCATTATGTGTTCGACGAATCGCTTCCGAGAACATCATTGATACATCAATCACCTAAATATATATATATATACAACAAAATTTCTTTCTTTATACAATTCAATGATAAGAAATTAAAATTATCAAACGAATAAATAAGATTTTCCTCATTGTAGTAACTTGTTATTGTTTTTATGTATACATCCAGTAAATAATATTAATTGTTTGCACTTTAAACTTTCTAGCTATACACAACAGAACTCTAATTAGGTCTCCAAGTCTGTCAACCTACATGTGTTTGTGATAGACAAATAGATCAGAAGGACAAAATAAGATAACAGATGTGGATACCCTGGAAATAGTGTAGGCTTATGGCAGGTTGATCTGTTCTGCACAAATTCGAACTGCTTGGATCTCTGATAATTGACATGATGATATATCATTAATATCCGATATATCTTTTAATAGTAATATACACTTATACGAACATAAATTCTTCGTAATCATTCTATTTAAATAATTTTCTTTTTTTATGTGTCGATATTATTAGCATAAGTAGTTTTGCTTAAGTTTTCTAGAATTCATATATATTAGTTATGATCTTAATGAAATTTATTATTATTAAATATGGAATTATTTCGTATTATCAGAATATTCGATTGCTAAAAACAAAGATATTATGATAAAAATAATTGCGAAGTTTCTTTTATCAAAATATATTTCTATACATACAATGAATAAGGACAATATGAGTATGTATCATTTTTTTTTCTCTAACTGCGTCATAATAATGACTAATATAAGGAAGAAAAGGAAGTTTTAAGGATCGTATATTTTAACTATGTGAAAAAAAAACACCTGTATATAGAAAGTAATAAACATGTGTAACATAAATTGAGATAATTATTTTTTCTACCTGAATTTTATTTGAATTTTTCATATTTTCTTCTTGTGGAATCGTATTTGTAACAACAACAGCTTCAAATGGTGAATTATTTATTCTCGATATAGCCGGTCCACTAAAGATTCCATGAGTACAAATAGCATAAACTTTACTTGCACCCGCACTTAATAATCTATATTAAATCATCATGGGAAAAAAAAAAACAAAACGAATATATCAAAAAGAAAAATTCTTATATATTTTTTTATTACTTTTGTGATGCATATTCAAATGTACCACACGTATCTAAAAAAGATTAAAAAAAAAATAACTTCATGAATTCTAAGCATAACATACCAGCCATATCATCAACTAGAATAGCAATACGTTTTGTGACATCACCAACGAGCACCATAGAATCGATTTCATTAGCTTTTTTTCGTTCTTTATGAATAAGTGCAAAATCAATGTTCAATCGATCAGCAATGGATGTTACACTGTACGAATAGTAAATATTCGTTAAATAGAGAAAGAAAAAAAAAATCTCATGTCAAATGTACCGTTTAGCACCTAAAATTAAAAGAATAGAATTATTTATTTTCCATCAAAGATTTATTTTTTTTCACCTCCAGCATCAGGACTGACAATGACAGCATTTTTGAAATCTGGAATATGTAATTGTATCCAACGAATGACAGCTGGTTCAGCAAATAGATTATCAACAGGAATATCGAAAAAACCCTATGAAATTTTAGGTTTTTATTAAGTATATTAATAGAAAAAAAAAATGAATACTTGGATTTGAGATGCATGTAAATCCATTGTAATTATATGATCAGCACCGGCGACACTCAACATATTTGCTACAAGTTTAGCTGAAATTGGTGCACGACTCTATTAATTTTCAAAAAAAAAAAAAAAGATAAAAACTTTTTTCTTGATGAATTAGTTTTCTTTTTTTTGTATAAAAAGAAGAAATAAAATAAAATCTCTCACTTTATCTTTTCGATCTTGTCTTGCATAAGGAAAACATGGAATGACAGCAGTAACTCGAGAAGCTGATGCTATTTTACATGCATTGATCATAATTAATAATTCCATTAAGTTATCATTAATTTCTCCACAACCACTTTGAACAATGAAAACATCTTCACCACGAACAGATTCATTGATTTCAACACTTTAATTAATAAATTTTGAATTGTTTTAAAAAAAAAAAAAAACAAAAGATTATGCTTTTTTGTTTTACTTTGTTTCTCGATTACTAAATTTTTTTGCTACAACTCTTCCTGGTTCTAAACCAAGTCGCGTACAAATTAATTTTGTCAATCCAGGATGAGATGAACCACCAAATACTTTTATATTAGGCATTCTCGGACACAATGATGGTCGGTGTTCTGATAATTTTAATATATTATTATATGTTACTTTACTGAAATCAGAATTCGTTTTTGATTTTAGATAAGATTTATCTTCATTAATTAATGGGGTACCATCTAAAAATATTTATAAGAATACAAAAATAATCAATATCATCATAGAATATATCATTCTAATAAAAGAATACAAAACAGAAAAGGAAACGAAGAAGTTCATGCTTAGAATTCAAATAAAGATCAATACAAGAAAACAATAGGCATGTATTATACTTACTCAAAGACTGATAATCATTTTTTTCCATCCTATTACAAAATATTATTAGTAGCAATAATTGCATTAATAATAATCTTTACGAAGGAGAAAAAAAAATTTCTTTTGATCTCTACTATGATGAGATATACTTTTTTTTCTTGTCCTATTAGAAATTGCAAATCTATCATCTGATCATCCTAACGCAAAATAAAAAGTTACAAAAGATCGAAAAAAAAAACTTATACGGTCTTTTCCATTTTTCTGAACACTCAACTATTATATCTTCCTACTTTTTTATTATTTAATAACAAAAAACAATAGTACTTACGTCTCAACCATCGATAACTGTTATATTTGTTTTCTTCTCGTTATATTAAGTCTGCTTGATTTCAATAATAGAAAATAGTTTGTACCACTCTTACATCAAAACAGAACATTTGTTTCTGTTTCTTTTCTTAGCGACCTATATATATTCGAACAGGAGAGGCATATTATCGGCCATAATGTGCGACAAAAGTCATATTGACATATACATATATGTATTTCTATATGATACTATAGTTGAAAATAATAAAATATTGTATCATTGTTTTCTATAAACAATGATTTATAGGACTGCCAAGTAATTCAGTTATCGCACTTTATTGATACGAACAAAAAATAAATAATTAAGAGAAAAACATGTTGCCTTTTTTTGTCGACTTCCTTTTTCTTCAATCTATAGAAAAAAATAAAACAAAATAGAAAAACATTTAACGATAAACTTGTTTGATTGGTATTCAGTAGAACTTCTTGGCGGATTGACAAGAACCACGAAATTGGAGACGATCCGTTGATTAAACTTTAAAAGGAAAATTACGATAAAAAAAAACAAAATTTCAAATAATTCATATGAAATATGAATTTCGATTGAAAACCTTATTATACTTTGTCGTCCTCAGTTAGAAAATAGTCAATAGATGGCGCAATTTAACATATTATCAATATCATGTTTTTTTAAACTGATATTTATATTTTTCATTTATTTTTCAAAGAAAACTTGAGAAAATCATAATCATTTTATTTTAACAAATCAAACCCAATCATCAATCGAATGAATTAGTCACTCTAAAGTACACATACAATTGTTTCTTAGCTTCTTTTTTTTTTTGTTATTCACATATCTACGTTATTTTTATTCAATTTCTTTTGAAAAATTGACTATGCGATAATGCTTTATACAGATTTTAACACATTATATAATCAAAGCTCGTTTCCAAAAAAAATACAATGATAACAATTTTACATTGATCTATTAAACTTATTCGTCGTTTTATAATCGTAATAAAAATTTTGATTTCTATTCTTTATAAAAAAAAAAAAAAGAAAAATGTCTATAATATTCTGATAGATACAACAACAACAACAATAACAATAAATGAATACAAATCGAATGGAAATAAATTCTAAAGAAAAAATTCAAGAAACGCAATTAACATCAAAAGAAAAACGTGCTATTTATATGTCTCGATTACGTGGTGCAATTGATTCTGAATATCGTCGTATGGAACGTGAAAATAATGCACGTGCTATGCGTAAAAAACGTTTAGAAAATCCATTATATCGTGAACATGAACGTTGTCAAAATCGTAGACATATGGCTGAAATGCGTCGTAAAAATTCCGAATATCGACAACGAGAACATATTAAAAATCGTCATCGTATGACATTAAAACGTGGTTTACATTCACAGACTTCATCAAAAATTAATAATACAAAAAAATTAACATCTATTAATAATGATAATAATAATAATGATAATAATAATGATAATAATAATAATAATAATAATAATAATAATAATAATAATAATGATATGATAAATTCAATTTATCAAATATTAGAAAATAATTTACAATCATCACATATATCATTTATTCCATATCAAACAAATTTTGATTGTTATCAACAACTATCAAATAATACTAAACAACGAAGTGAATATGAACTTTTACAACAAATCGATGACTATTGTCGTCAACAAGATATTAGATCGAGTTCAGATAGTAATAGTCGTAGTGCTGATTCAACACCGTCTTATTAGATAGAATATATGGTATATATATATATATATATATTCATCGTTATTATTTTATTTTATATCTTTGGTGAAAAACAAAACCATCTCAAAGATGTGTTTGTCTTCTAAACTGAATACATTGCAGTTGTTTTTTTTTTTAATATATTAGTATTTTTTTTTTCTTCTTTTGATAATATATTAAAATCTCATATTCGATCATGAATAGTATCGAAATTTTTTTATCTATTCGATTTATTAATTAGAAAAATAAATTCGAAAGAAAAAAATTTTTATATTTTTCGAAAAAACAAATGCTTTAATGATAATAAATGTTCTATACACAATAATAAAATAATAGTGAAAAAAATAAAAGATCATTACAGTTATATAGAGTTTCTTGATGTTAATTGAACAATTAGGAACTGTTAAATCAAATTGATTTGTTGAAAACATATTGATCAATACTCAAGTGTTTTTATTGATCTAGTAGATAGTTGAATTTTAGTATTCATTTATTTACTTGATTTTTTGTCGTTTTTTGAAAGTGTTTGTTTTATTTAACCTGTTCGCAGTGGGTGTCTGATATGTGGGACGGTGACATTTTTCCTCAGATATGGATATCAAATGGTATTCGAAGTGAAATTTGATACTTGTATCTAAGGAGCTCTTTCTACTATAACGAGAGAGAGACTATGAGGGGTCGAAAATTTTGTAGGAAAGACATACTTCTAGTGCAAAACTTCAAGCGTCTCTCATTCTGTCTCAAAAATCTTCAATACAATAATTCTATCCATACATCGAAAGACTTCTAATAAAAATTATATTATAAAGATTGGAGTTCAGAAAGTGCACAGAGTGCTCATGCAACCCTCTCCCTTGAAGCGGAAAACGTCTAGAGAGGAATATAGGACTAAAATACTATTCACAGGATCGAATATCTTCTGTGCTGGCGTGTATGCCCTTAAGAAATTCCTGGCTACGGGTCTGGCGGAGGCTATTGAGTGCTGAGACTTGAGGCAATGAAAGAGAGTGCTGTTACTTTCAGGTGCGCAAATTTTTATAAATCGTAAAAACGACTATTTTTGCCAAAATACACACATATTTTCCCTTAAAATATCCCGCCATGAAAGGATAAAAAGACATTTATGATGCTAATACAACTATACATTATTATTATTTTTTAGAAATATTCGTGAGGATTAATATTAATGTGCTTTAGAACTTTTGGATTTTATAAAATTAATTCAGCTACATTAAACAACAAGAAAAGGAAAATCATGTTGTTTTACGATAGAACATATCATTATGAATAAAATATCTTATCAGAGTAGAATAATAATGAAACAAAAAGATTTTATACGAAGAATGACATATACAATTGCAGAGCTTTACCGCTTCTTATATTAGAAATAATATAGAAAGCAATACGACTGAAGTAACTACGATCTATTATAGCGGTGAACTATTTTCATTATGAATCAATATTTTTATTCAATATTAATTAGGATTCTCGAATAGAATTTCATCAAATATTTAAAAAAACTGAAACCGAGCATGTGCTACAAGTATCAATTTTCCAAAAATAAAAAAATAAAAATTTCATATGAATCATTTTCGGACTTACTACCATTTTGTAAATTCATTATGTGTTCGGTGATTATTTTTTCCTTAGATTTTCAGTTAAATGCAGTTATGCTTCGTCAATAAAGGATATGAAAATAATACAGAATAGGTAGAAATCAGATTTTCGTTGAAACAATAAGAATAAAACAATTTTATAAATACATATACAAGTCAGAGAGAGAGAGAGTGAGAACTTATTCGAAGTTTTTTCAAAGAACATATCAAAGACAATAGAGATCATGACGTCAGTGTAGCACAGCAGAAACATAGAGAAAAAAGACAATGTATAAGTTGAAGATGATTGACTTGTGATCCTTCTATGTCAAAACATACATGTAATAATATTAATGAAGTGCAATTATTCCATCAAGATCTGTCTTACAGGTATCACTGTTGAATGATTATCGTTAGTTTTATGAGACATCATTTTGTTTCTCTAGTTCTTTTTTCAAAAGTGATATCAAACTGACCGATATTCTAACTCATTGAATCGTATGATGATCACTTCAAATCTTAAGGGACAACCAGGAGTGTCCCTAGTAGAGCCCGTCCGGCTGGTCCAGACATCGATGATTCAGAAGATCGATTGGAAGATTTTTGCTATAGGCAATCGGATTTTGGAGGTTGTTGAGCTTTTTTTGGCAATTGATGAGCAAAAAAACAATAAAACGCTGAAGATAAACGAAAATTTATTTAAGACCAAAGAGTCATTTCCTCGACCCTCTTCCTACTCGGGACACCCGTAGAGATAATCAATAATCATTTGTAGATTTCATTGAATAATTAATGCGTCATATTTGTAGAAGCTATTCAGAAGGCGCGAATTCACGCTGCCCGTACTTAAATGATTAAATAAATTATTCAGTTTATGAATTAATTCTTAATAGTATTGATTCTTTTGAATTCATACTCGACCCTATTTAAAAACAGTTAACATAATATCTATTGATGATACATCATTATTCATTAGAAAGGATAGGATTTCTGTTTTTGAGAAAGTCATTTTACATAAACCAGTCTTAAATAATAAGTCATATATAAATATGACTTATTAGGCATCATTTTAATCTAATTCTCTAAAATATTCGTTTTTTTAACTTCAATTGAGTTTTTATTTCATCCAATGAACTTTTTCAGTAAAACTGCTTGAATCTTAGCCTTCCAATCACTTAAAATAATTAGTAATGAAAATTTTTATTTTAAATTCAAAACGAGATATGTAGTTAATATACATAAAAAAACACGAATAACAACAAAAAGAAAACAGAAAAAGCAGAAAAACAAAGTTTTTCATTTTATATAAATTAGCCGTGACATAGAATAAGAAATGAGAAAGCATACGAGATTACGCCAAATATTTCTTAAATTTTTTTATGTTTTTTTTGTAATTCTATACTGAAAATGAGAAATATGTCATGTAACAAAACCAACAATTAATTATTTAAGTAATAGCAAGTGTTAATGATTTATATGGATTGGCTGATGAATTATGAAGTCCACCATCAGCATATGGATCATCGAATAATAAAGCTTCATCAAGATTTTCATTTAAATCTGCACGTGATGTATCTGGTTGTCGATATTGTCCAGATGATTGATTATTATTTGAAATTGAAAAGAAATTAAATCTTCCACGTTTATTACGATTAATCCAACCAATTGATCTTAATATATTATTAAAACGATTATTAATATTCGTATTATTAGTTGATAAATTTAAATTATCTCCTTGATTGGATGTTAAACGATGATGATGTTTTTGATTTAAATGAATATAAACAATAACCATAGCAAAAATTGCAAATACTGATAATAAACAAATAAACACTATTAACAAAATACGACGACCTGTACTATTTGATGGTCTTAATTCACCTAAACAACATATGAATAAATAAAATATTTATTTCTAATTAAACTTACTTTTTATTTCAAAACATTTGTTATCTTTGTTTTGATAATTTAATGGACATTGTGTACAGTTTGGAGGGTTAATATGACCTTCGGGACATAATAATAAAGTCGACTCATCTAAATAATAGCAGGAATTTTATTTGAAATATTATATATATATTAATATATACAAACCTGTCTCTGGACTAGTTGTTGTAGCTTCAGCTACTGGTACAGATATTAATGTGGTATTTACATCTGTTGAATTTTCTCCTTAAAGATAAAATTCAAACAAATTCAAACAATATTAAAAAAATAAAAACAACATACCTTGAATATAACCATTAAGAATAAGAAATAAAACGAGTAAAAAACAACGAAAAGTTTCAATGGACATTATTATGATTTATTTTTAATCAGATCTTTATATGAGAATAAAGCTAATCATTTGTTCACTGTCATCAATCATAACAACGAAACAATTTAATCATAAAGAGAAACAATCCGATGATTCATTTATATATAACATATAAGAGGTTAGTCAATTGACATTGATTGTAGAGTTAAAGAAAGAGGTCGGGAGTATTTCATTTCTATCATTGGAGAAATTTTGATGACTAATAGGCTTAACTCTGATACTATCTATGTGTTGATTTACTTTCGTGTGGTAAAAAAATTAAAACTATAATTTTCTTAGAAATATTTTTAAAGTTTTTTTTGTTTTCGATGAATCTAACTCTGAAAGGATGAGAAATTCTTAGATAGTTAACTCTGAACGTCGAAAAAGATGAATATCTGATCGAATATCATTTATTCTGAAATCATACTCAAATATATAAGAGTGGATACAATGGGAATATCGATGATGATAAACTAGATGGGAAAGGTTTAACAAACATAATGAGAGAGAAAGGAGAAGTCTCAGTAATAAGTAGAACAAAAAAAGGAAAAACCTATATACTATGAAGCGGAGGATAGGAAAAAAAGAAAATACGTTTGTGAGAAAAAGATGCAATAAGTTGAAATATCGTAAGGTGAATCTTAGTCATCCCATGACATAGATATGATTATTTATTCATAATAAATAAAACAATTTGAATTAAAAGAGAAAAAAAACTATAATCATTGTAATGATGAAGATATGATATGTATTTCTTTTATTTTTTATAATATACAAACGTATTAAGAGTGCACCATTTGGTAAAATAAAAATTAGAGTACATTGAACATCATTAACAATACAGTTTATATTAAACACTTGTCTTTCTTATGATAATATTATGAACATCGGACATAAACTTCAGTAAAAATAGTTTTTTTTTAATATTATACCATTACTGCTAATGCTTTTGAAATGTGGCAGATTAAGTGATATCTATTCTCATTCATAGTTAGAGTTTTCAAAAAAGTTCATAAAAATATAGTATGCCTCAGAGACAGAAAACGACTCCGAACTCGAATCAAGGAAACTCAGTTCGATTAGGTCTCTGGCATGCACTAACTTTGTT